GGTGACAGAAAGGGCTGTGGGGAAGGTGCGCCCGTGGGCCAGGTAGGCCTGTGTGCATGCACCCAGTCTGCCTCTTCCAGAGAGTTTCTTAACCGAGTATAGCACCTTCCACGCCTTTTCTTCCCAATACCCCGATGACCAGGTGGTGTTTCAGCTGCATCCGAGCTTTTTCCAATCCAATCCGCATTTTTCTTCCCCCACCCTTTTTTCTCCCCAATACCCCAGGTGGTGTTTCAGCTGCATCCGAGCTTCTCCAATCCCTCCCTTATAGTGGAGCGGCCGCCCTTCATGCTGTCGGAGAGCGGCTGGGGCGAGTTTGAGATTCACACCTTTCCCCTCTTTCCGCATGTCGTAAACTCATGCTTCCTCGACCTCCCTCTCCTTCTGCTGTTTTTCCGAAACACACCTCCCTCCTGCTGTCTTTACCCTCCACATCCTCTCCCTACAAATACCCCAATGACCAGGTGGTGTTTCAGCTGCACCCGAGCTTCTCCAATCCGACGCGCATTGTGGAGCGGCCGCCCTTCATGCTGTCGGAGAGTGGCTGGGGCGAGTTTGAGATCGCCATGACCATTGTGTTCCACGCCGATGCTTCTGAAATGCCAGCTGAGCTGTGAGTTAACTTGGGCCAGGTTTTGGTAACAGTTCTGTTTGTAACAACTCCGTCTGATCCACTTTACTTACAGGCTCTAAACATCTTGTTGCAAAAGTCATTCTTAGGAACATTATACTTGTAAGAATCTCAGCTGTCGGAGATTGGCTGGGCCGAGTTTGAGATTGTTATGACCATTGTCTTTCACGCCGACAGTGAGTAGGCGTGCCGGGAAATACAGTCATTCATCACCATGCCGCCCACCCTCACATGGCCCGAGGAGACTCCACTGCACTTGTTATTTCTTCCAGCACACACACTCTGAATGTGCTTATATGCGAAAAGCAGCCCTCTCTCCCATTTTAGGTGTCAATTTCCAGTTTTGAGAAATTGTCAACATCCAGTTTTGAGAAATCGTCCTGCTTTTTCCTCATCCTTTCCCCCATCCCTTTCTCTCAACTACTCCCCCTTACCCACTCCCCCTTTTCCTCCCCCGCCCAGCACCCATCACCTTCGGCTGTACCCAGAAGGCAGCGCTCCGAACCAGCCTCTCAGCACCAAGCGGCCTGTTGTGGCTGAGCAATACGATGAGCTAGTGTTCTGCGAGCCACAGGTACGGGTTAACTTATGGGGATCTAAAATGCAGGTAAGTGGTTTTTTGAACCATGGGTACAGTGGTGGGCAGCAGGTCTTGTTCACATGTTTTTTATCCAGTCATCTCAGATACCGTTCCTTTTATAACTGTGGTTCACAAACTGTGTTTCTGGCAACAACTTTTGTTTGAATTTCTGGTTTTTTTTTTCAGGCGCCTCAAAAGCTATTTCTTGTAACTGTGGCTCACAATTTGTATCTAATAACCACTTTATGCGTGTCTCCAGATCGCGTTCTTCCATCGCATCCGCTCCAACCCCATGGTAAGGATTCACGGCAGTGAGGAGGCCATCACCGCCGCTGGCAACCACGCAGCGATACCACAAGGTAGAGATCACAATCTCAAATGCTTACACAACTGACTAATGTCCAGGAAAAAAATATCTTTGGATGTTTCACGCTTGAGCCCTTTTCTTTTCAGTGAATTTCTAAACATCTGGAGGTTGTGGCTTGTGACAGAATTTGAGACTTTCCCTGCTTTAATTCATAATCCACTTTTTTCTGCGCATCTTTGTGCAGATGGCTCCAGTTCGGCCCCTGCAGATGCACGTAACTTGGAATCAGATTTGCGAGGAGAGAATAGAGGGGACACTCTAGACCATCCGTTGTCGCAGTGGTTTCTGCAGTTCTCAGACGAACAAGAGCTGACTGCCATAGCTGCTGCAAGGAAGCAGGTAATCCTGTCATCAGACGTTTCTGCCATATTGGAAATGCTCAAGGGCTACCTGCCACGTGCTGCTGCCATGAAGCAGTTGGGGGTGAAGTGCACTGACTTCGGGGACAGCTCAGCAGTAACCTTGTTACAAACCAACACATCACATAGCACTTCTATTCCATGTTATTTATGCAGTCGCATTGACTCTATTCCTTTTCACTTGCATCTGTCTGTGTGTGTGGGCAGGTTGCCACACTGACGGCCAAGTTAGAAGCTGAATATGCCTCTTTTGAATTTGAGTGTCAAGAACTTAAGCAAGGCTCTAGTCAACCAGGCTGATGTGAGCGTTTGTGCCTGGCAGAGGCTTACGTTCACTTAAATCACAAAATGTTGCATAAAGGTTCTATTATGTACAACCAGTGGAGGATGCCTGATCCAGTCAAGTTATCAGTTCATGTCAGCTCTTAAAACCAGAGTCCCAAACAGCCCGAAACTGCCTCAACCTTCCTAACTTCGGTTGGGTGTGACCCAGTTGATACCGAGCTCTCCTCGCAAATTGTTGGGACGATTTTCGCCAAGCGAAATTACTGTTCAAGCGAGGACGATAGCGGTGACAACTTCGCAAACACATTTGCAGCCCGTCCGAAACAGTCAGCGAACGAGTTCTGACTCGCGACTTTTTCATACTTAGCGACCCGCTACCACTGATTTCGACACCACCCTGGCTCGCGAGCCAGTCACCTTTCTCTCCCCTTTCAACCTTCCTAACTTAGAAACTCTTGGACCTCCGGTTTTAAAAACCATTCGTATCATTCTTAAATGAAGGTAGGAATCATTCTTATCCATTGGTTTGAGAGAGTTTTGAGATTGTTACAGTGACGAAGTCCGCCAGAGATTCACAAATTGGGAAAATATGCCACAAGTAACCAACTTCGGACTCGATAACGTGAATGGTTAAACAAAACGCGTACGGTCACTATATCGGGTTTTCTGACGGGTTTGGTAAGCGGGGTCACGGATTCAGTCACTAACAACAGGTAAAAAATCACGCGAATGGTCACACATGTAACTCCCGCCAAAAAAACTTGAAACTCAACAAAATTCCCGCTCGCGTCCAACCAATCTGCGAACTTGTTAAAAAACTAAAACCCAATCGGAATCGGATGCGGTTTGGGAACGGATCAACCCTAAACACCTAACAAGTTACGTGTTTAGGGTTGACCATCCGAAAATGCATCCAGGTTCTTTTTGGGTTTCATTTTGTTTTGGCAAGAGTTTCATCCGTGACCATTCGCGTTTTTTTTTACCAGTTGATTGTGACTGATTCCGTGAAACGCTTTATCAGTCGCGTGAAAACACCCTTTGCAGTGACCGTACCCTTTATTGTTTTACCAAAAATGTTTTTTGAGTCCCATTATGGTTACAAATGGCATATTTTCCCTCACAAATTTCAGTGGGATCTGCCACTCAAACCGAGGGCACCAGGTTTCCCCTCGGTTTTCGCACATCCCGCGCGCATCTTTCTAGGCTTGGTGCGCTGGCGCTGGTGCCCTCGAGGTTGGCGGGTTTGACCACGCGCACATCCCGATGGTTCATTGCACACCCCAACGCTAGGAGTAGCCGTTGGATGCGATGACTTCACCTGGCCAATCCCAAGGTACGACGTGAGCTGCATTCCCTGACACAGATGTTTCAGGCGACCTGCCATAGTGCAGGCGGAGGGAAGGAGGTTGGCAGGAAATCCATTCATCAAAACTTGCATCCTTCACAGATTCGTGAAGTCCTCAGTGGTTTGTGTGTTCTAGGGTGGCTCAGAGGCTTTGCTATGGATTGGTCTCGTCAGGCTCCGTAGATTTTCATAGCCTGAACAAGGTCGGCTCGATGCTTGATCGGCACACTGCTTTCGTGCTGTCGCGGATCTCGTTCACTAACCTAAAATCAATCTCGGTTTCAGATCAGTTGCTACCAGGCATCACGATTCCCGCCGACCTCGTGTTTCTGTCACATTGCTAGGTGTATATCTGTTCCCCTCTCGCCTGGTACCGTGACTAATCGCCTTACACCATGGCGACGCCACAGCCACCGCAGACTGAACCCGGTCGGCTGGCCAAGCTAGTCGTCCCCACACTTGAGAAAATCATCAAGAACGCGTCATGGCGGAAACACCAGAGGCTCGTACAAGACTGCAAGGGCCTGATAGAATGGTTCGCGAAGAATCCCAACCCAGGCGTGGAATGGCAACCTCCGGCTCAGGACCCGCCTGGCGTCAATCCCTTTGACGAATCCGCTTCACGGGGAGGATCTTCTGGCGCAGCGTTTCCGGCTGGATTGTTCGACGATGGTAACCGGGTGTTGAAGATTAAGGATGCGGAGTTTATCATGGCGCCGCTTCATACGGCGTGCGAGACGCTCGCGGCGAAGGTGGTCGAGCCGACGCTGGATTGCCTCCAGAAGATGGTTGCGCATCAGCATTTGAGGGGAGAGATGGACGTTGGAGGGACCACGCGTGAAAGCAAGCTGCTGACGCGGGTACGTTGCTTAAGAGAAGACAGGAAGTAGAGGGGAGGTGAGCAGGAAGGTAAGGTTCCTTGCAAGGTAACTTCTGATGGAGTAATGTCACAATGGAGAATATCGATCGCAGATCGTGAGGGAGTATTTACACTAGACTAATGAGGTGCTCACCTCGAATTGATGCGGACATCTGCGATGGCTGTAAATCTGGCGAGATCACACAAGCTTCATCGCGAATTCCCTATCTGTGCGCTCTGAATGCATACATTCATGAATGGTTGAATGTGTCCGTTCCTTCGTGTGCAGGTCATGGAATCCGTGTGCAAGTGCTACGATATAGCAGACGAAGCAGTGGAGCTACTAGTCCTGAAGACTATGCTATCTGCTGTCACATCCACCTCCCTCCGCGTTCACGGCGAGTGCGTACTTAAGGCTGTCCGCACCTGCTACAACATTTACCTCGGTAGTAAGGTCCCCGTTAATCAAACCACAGCCAAGGCGTCCCTCACGCAGATGCTCGTTATAGTATTTCGGAGGATGGAAGCGGATTCGTCGACAGTTCCGGTTCAGCCAATCGTGGTCGCGGATTTAATGGAGCCCTCGGATAGGCTAGCGTCGGACCAGAATGTAACGCAGTTCGTTCAGTCGTTCATTACCAAGGTAGTGCAGGATATCGAGGTCGCTTTTAACCCGGCGCATACTCAATCTCTCGACGATGGCGCGTTTGACCTCGCAGTAGCACCCATCAACTCGGCAGCCACCGACGGAAGCCTAGTCGAAGATAAGGATATGCTAGACGTTAAGTACTGGGACGTGAACATGCTTGCAGGTTCAGTTACCGACCCAGCCAAGACTTTAGGCGGAGACGGGAAAGTAGTAACCGTGAAAGCCGGCGCGACTGCCGCTATAGGGCTTCCGCCAGGCGCCGTGGCCACTGTTCCTGTTGGTTCTAGCGCAAATGGCGCCGGAAATCCCGTGGGAACCATGGCGGGAGGCGGAGTGATCATTCCTGACGTGGATCCGGAGAAGGAGGGCGAGTCGGAGGTGAAGATAACGAACAAGCTGCGGCGCGATGCGTTCCTGGTGTTCCGCGCGCTGTGCAAGCTGTCTATGAAGGCTCCCCCGGCGGAGGGGGTGGTGGATCCGTTCGCTGTGCGCGGCAAGGTGGTCTCGCTGGAGCTGCTGAAAATCTGCCTTGAGAATTCTGGCGCTGTCTTTCGCACCAACGAGAGGTGAGCCATGTTGGGTACAAAGGGAGGCTCGTACTTTTCCCAAAGCCATTTATCGCATCTTCCGAGAGATAAGTTGAGTGTGGCGTTTTTCGAATGAGAGTTCAAATAGGGGTGGCATTGAAAACGAGAAGGAATCCTCCCACACAACCCCCCCATCATCTTTGTCCCCTGCTGTCACACCTTTGCGACAAGTCTGAAGGGGCAGTGAGGAAGTGCCCGTGGCAGGCATGTTATGATGCAACTGAACACCCCAACCCCACTGTTCAAGTTTACGCGTCACGTGCTCTTGCCCCTCAACCCTTCCCCTCAACTCCCTCGTTCACGCTCGGCTCCCGCTTTCAATCCCTCCCTTCCACCAGGTTCGTGGGCGCAGTGAAGCAGTACCTGTGCCTGTCGCTGCTCAAGAACTGCACGTCCTCCCTCATGTCCGTCTTCCAGCTCTCCTGCTCCATCTTCTTCTCCCTCCTCACGCGCTTCCGCTCCGTCCTCAAGGCCGAAATCGGCGTCTTCTTCCCCATGATCGTGCTGCGCGTGCTGGAGAACGTCGCGCACGCCAACTTCCAGCAGAAGATGATCGTGCTGAGGTTCCTGGAGAGGCTCTGCGTGGACCCGCAGATTCTGGTGGATATCTTTGCCAACTATGACTGCGACGTGGAGTCCACTGTCAGCATCTTCGAACGGTGAGCTGGGTAGAAGCAGATTAAGGGTAGAATCGAATTCAACGTAGATTCAGAGTCGCCTAGCCCCCCTTTCCTCCATTCCCTCCTCCCGCGTTGCATCCCCCATCAGCAATGATCCTCCTCACACATCTCGTGCACTCGAGCTCCCATCAACTACTCCCTTCTTTTTCATCTTCATCCCCCACCCTCTCTTGTACGGTTCAACCTTCTCCCAGGATGGTGAGCGGGCTGCTCAAGACAGCACAGGGAGTGCCGCCCGGCGCGGACTCAACGCTGAACGCGGCCCAGGACCAGCAGCTGCGCCTGGCCGCCATCAAGTGCATGGTGGGGGTGCTGCGCTCCATGGGCTCCTGGACCAACCGCCAGCTCTGCGTCACCGCAGGCCCCAAGGTCGCCGCGGAAATCGGCGCTGCTGCTGCAGCGGCAGCCGTGTCGGCAGCAGCAACAGCAGCAGCGGCTGCGGCGGCGGCGGCAGGGGAAGGGGCGGCTCCTGTGGCTGTGCCTGATCTTCTGTCGGGGGATCTGCTACCGGATTTTGTAAATCCCAGGACTGGGGTGTTGCCTGTTGCGAAGTCAGAGGAGGCTTTGGAGGAGGAGGCGCTTGGGGGGATGCCTGCGGCTGGGGTGAGCAGTGGAAATGAGATTTCAGAGGCTTCGATTCTGGAGCAGAGGCGGGCTTATAAGCTGGAGCTGCAGGAGGGGATAAACCTGTTCAACAAGAAGCCGAAAAAGGGGATAGATTTTCTGATCAAGGCGAAGAAACTGGGCGAGGGTGCGGAGGAGATTGTTGCGTTCCTGCGCAAAACAGAGGGGCTGGATAAGACGATGATTGGAGATTTCCTAGGGGACAGGGACGACATGAGCATCAAGATCATGCATGCCTACATGGACTCATACAACCTCTCTGTAAGTGGCATAAACGGCATATTTTCCCAAACAGTAGGTTGCACTCTGCTAGTGGGAGTGTGGGATGCATAAAGGTCATATGCAGGTGCGCGATACATTCCACATGAAGATGTGTAAACTCTCCTCTCCTCTCTCTCTCCTCTCCCTTCTCCCCTCTCCCCTCTCCCCTCTCCCTTCTCCCCTCTCCCCTCTCCCCTCTCCCTTCTCCCCTCTCCCCTCTCCCCTCTCCCCTCTCCCCTCTCTCATCTCCCCTCTCCCCTCTCCCCTCTCCCCTCTCCCCTCTCCCCTCTCCCCTCTCCCTTCTCCCCTCTCCCCTCTCCCTCTCCCCTCTCCCCTCTCCCCTCTCCCCTCTCCCCTCTCCCCTCTCCCCTCTCCCCTCTCCCCTCTCCCCTCTCCCCTCTCCCCTCTCCCCTCTCCCCTCCCCCCTCCACCCTCTGCCGTCTACCCCACTTACCCCCATTGCCTCGCCAGGGAATGGACTTTGACGAGGCCATTCGGGCGGTGCTGCTGGGGTTCAGGCTGCCAGGCAAGGCGCAGAAGATTGATCGCATCATGGAGAAGTTTGCTGAGCGCTACTGCCCTCTAGGCTTTGACAAGGCTCACTGGTGGCTATGCTGCTGGGCTGCAGGCATCTCAAGTGCCACTCACTAACACCTCCCTCTCCCCTCTCCCCTTTCCTCCCTCCAACACTTACCCCCACTCCCCTTTCCCCCAGGGAATGGACTTTGACGAGGCCATTCGAGCAGTGCTGCTGGGGTTCAGGCTGCCAGGCGAAGCGCAGAAGATTGATCGCATCATGGAGAAGTTTGCTGAGCGCTACTGCCGCTGCAACCCCAAGGCGTTCACCAGCGCCGATACTGCCTACGTGCTCGCTTACTCTGTGATTATGCTCAACACGGATGCGCATAACCCTGGCGTCAAGACCAAGGTGAGAGCGCGTGATGATATGATCGATGTAGCCCCTCAAAAAGCTGTCACAGAGGCGGATACAGCGTTACTGCTTGCTTAGTCTCTCGCACTCAAGCTTCATGCTCAACACAGACGCACCCAACACAACCCAGGCGTCCTTCTCTTCCACCCCCCCTTCCCTTCCACGCCTCCTCCTCTTCCATGCACCCCCTTCCCACCCATACATCCTGCTTCCTCCCTTCCCAGATGAGTAAAGCCGACTTCCTGAAGAACAACCGTGGAATCGACGACGGGAAGGACATACCAGAGGAGTTTCTGGGCGGGCTGTACGACCGCATCACACGGAACGAGATCAAGATGAAGCCGGAGATCCTGGGGCCAGGGGGAGTGGTGTCAAAGGCTGCAGTGAGCAGCGCAGCGGGCAACGCGCTGCTGGGGCTGGAGAGCATTCTGAACCTCATGTCGGGACGCACACGGGCAACTACAGAGCTGGAGACGAGTGACGAGGTGGTGAAGCACATGCAGGAGCAGTTCCGTGCCAAGGCGGGCAAGTCAGGGTGAGCAGCAATGGGGGAAGGTCAGGGTGAGCGGCAGTGTGGGAAGGTCAGGGTGAGCTCAGTAAGAGGGGGGAATCAGGTCAGGGCAAGTGGTGCTCAAAGGCTGCAGCAGTGAGCAGCGCAGCGGGCAACGCGCTGCTGGGGCTGGAGAGCATTCTGAACCTCATGTCGGGACGCACGAGAGCCACCACGGAGCTGGAGACGAGTGATGAGGTGGTGAAGCACATGCAGGAGCAGTTCCGTGCCAAGGCGGGCAAGTCAGGGTGAGCGTCAGTGTGGGAAGGTCAGTAGGTAAGCGTGGGCATGTTTCCAGCAGCAGCAAGGTTGGGAGACGAGCGACGAGGTGGTGAAGCACATGCAGCAGCAGTTCCTTGCCAAGGCGGGCAAGTCAGGGTGAGCAACAATGGGGAGCAGTCAGGGTGAGCAGCCACTGGAGGAGGTCATGGTGAGCAGCAATACGGGGATACCTGAATGCAGTTTTCACTTTTTTTCTTGCTTCACCTCTCCATCCTGCATCTCAGCCCCCGACAAGCATCCCTCCTGCTTCGTTGTGCCCTCCCTTATCTAGAATTTTCCAGATCGGTGTTCTATGCTGCCTCAGACGTGCAGATCATCCGCCCCATGGTCGACGTGGTGTGGGCGCCCATGCTAGCAACAGTGTCATTCATCTGTGCACGTTTCCTCGCCCTTCTCCCTTGACTTGCCCACCCTCTCCCTCAGGTCGGTGTTTTACGCTGCCTCAGACGTGCAGATCATCCGCCCCATGGTCGACGTGGTGTGGGCGCCCATGCTAGCAACAGTGTCATTCATCTGTGCACGTTTCCTCGCCCTTCTCCCTTGACTTGCCCACCCTCTCCCTCAGGTCGGTGTTTTACGCCGCCTCAGACGTGCAGATCATCCGCCCCATGGTCGACGTGGTGTGGGCGCCCATGCTAGCCGCGTTCTCCGTGCCCCTGGAGACCACGGAGGAGGATGCTGTCACGGAGCAGTGCCTGGAGGGGTTCCGATACGCCGTGCACGTCACTGCTGTGATCGGCATGCACGTAAGTGACATGTGAGGGAAGGGATGGTGAGAGTCATGTGGTATGGGCATGCATGGATGAGGAGGCTGTCACGGAGCAGTGCCTGGAGGGGTTCCGATACGCCGTGCATGTCACTGCTGTTATCGGCATGCAGGTGAGGGGCATGTGCGGGGGAACGTGAGGGAAGGGATGCTATGGGGCATGTGCGGGGGAATGTGAGGGAAGGGATGCTATGGGGCATGTGAGGGGGAATGTGAGGGAAGGGATGCTATGGGGCATGTGAGGGGGAATGTGAGGGAAGGGATGCTATGAGGCATGTGAGGGGGAATGTGAGGGAAGGGATGCTATGGGGCATGTGAGGGGGAATGTGAGGGAAGGGATGCTATGGGGCATGTGAGGGGGAATGTGAGGGAAGGGATGCTATGGGGCATGTGAGGGGGAATGTAAGGGAAGGGATGCTATGGGGCATGTGAGGGGGAATGTGAGGGAAGGGATGCTATGGGGCATGTGAGGGGGAATGTGAGGGAAGGGATGCTATGGGGCATGTGAGGGGGAATGTGAGGGAAGGGATGCTATGGGGCATGTGAGGGGGAATGTGAGGGAAGGGATGCTATGGGGCATGTGAGGGGGAATGTGAGGGAAGGGATGCTATGGGGCATGTGAGGGGGAATGTGAGGGAAGGGATGCTATGGGGCATGTGGCACGGGCATGCGGTGACGAGTGAGGAGGCTGCGACAGAGCAGTCAGATCCTGGAGGGGCACGCCGTGCATGTCTCTGCTGTTCTCGGCATGCACGTGAGGGTCACTTGAGGGGCCATATGAGCAGCATGTGAGGGATGGTGTGTTAGGCTGGGCCATGTGAGGGGCATTGGACTTGTGGGGGTGTGGCAAAGCACAGCTTACCTTGTGCATGTGGGGACAGTATGCAATTTAACTTGTGAGTCAATTGAAAGGTCTCCTATCTACTCCTCATCAACCTCCTTTCCTTTTTTTCACCGCCTTTCTGCCCGGTCCACCAGATGCAACGCGATGCGTTTGTGACATCTCTGGCCAAGTTCACATCGCTGCACTCCGCAGCAGACATCAATTGTTACCTGCCCTTGTTAACCTCCTCCTCCTTCTGCCCTTTCTCCACCGTCCCACTGCCCGGCCCCCCAGATGCAACGCGATGCGTTTGTGACGTCGCTGGCCAAGTTCACGTCGCTGCACTCCGCAGCAGACATCAAGCAGAAGAACGTGGACGCCATCAAGGTGCGTGGGCGGGGTGGGTTGTGGTGGGGTTGGGTGCGGTGGGGTGGGGTGGGGTGGCTTGTTCTAGGTGTATCATGAGTCAGGTTGCAGTAGTTCACGTCGCTGCACTCCGCAGCAGACATCAAGCAGAAGAACGTGGACGCCATCAAGGTGGGTGATGGGTGGATGTGTCAGGTGGGTGGGTGAGGTGGGTGGGTGGGTGGGTGGACGGTTGGGTGGACAGGTGGGTGGGCTTGGGCAGGTGTAATATGAGCGGACCTGCGATGTACAATTGCAAATTTCAGCAGACCTCAAGCTGAAGAATCTGGACGCCATCAAGGTGGGGGTGGATGGGTGGGTGTGTCAGGTGGGTGGGTGAGGTGGGGGGGTGGATGGTTGGGTGTGTCAGGTGGGTGGGTGAGGTGGGGGGGTGGATGGGTGGGTGTGTCACCTCCAACCACCCCATTCACCTCCCGCTTTCCGCCGCATCTTTTCCCCCTCGCCCTTCCCCCTTTGCGCTCCCCCCCCGACCCATTCCCCTACATCCAGTCTCTCCTGCTGGTAGCAGAGGACGATGGCAACTACCTGCAGGACGCATGGGAGCACGTGTTAACCTGCGTCTCACGCTAAGAGCACCTCCACCTCATCGGCGAGGGCGCCCCCACCGACTCCCACTTCTTCTCCGCCGCGCCGCAGCTCCCCACTCTCTCAAACACCACCCTCCCCCAACCTTCGCCCTCTCATCCCTTCCACTGTCGTCCCTCCCCTTTCTGCACCCCTTCCCAACCCCCCACCCACACCCATTCCCCTCCATACAGAGCCTACTGCTGGTAGCAGAGGACGATGGGAACTACCTGCAGGACGCGTGGGAGCACGTTTTAACCTGCGTCTCACGCTACGAGCACCTCCACCTCATCGGCGAGGGCGCCCCCACCGACTCCCACTTCTTCTCCGCCGCGCCGCAGCTTCCCCCGCTCACCCAGCAGCAGCGCCCGCAGCCGCTGGACCCCCAGGGGAAGAGGGGCGGGGGGAGGGGGGTGGCGGCGTCGGTGTATGGGGGCGGAGAGGGGCGGGGGATGGTTGGGGGTGGGCAGAGGGATGCTGGGACGCCGCAGGGGAGTGCAGGGGATGCTGGGACGCCCAGGGGGCAGGCGAAGAGGTTTGGCGAGGGAGGCGAGGCTCCTGCCTGGAAGAATGTGAGTTTGATGTGAATTGCAACTTGTAGTTCACTTTTGAGGCGCCTCAGAAGTGGCCAAGGGGGCAGGCGAAGAGGTTTGGCGAGGGAGGCGAGGCCCCCGCCTGGAAGAATGTGAGTGGAAGTGGCTTGCAACATGAGTTTGCTGCATGACTCGCAATGTGTGTGCCCTGTTTATGGCTTTTGGGGCGCTTAAAAGATCGCGCGATGTGTGTGCCCTGTTTATGTGACATGGTCTCCCCCCACTCCCTGCTTGCCTGCCTGCCCTCTCCCTCCCTCCCCTCCTTTCTAATACCCCCAGGTAACTGGGAAGCTGAACCAGGTGGAGAAGCTAGTGAGGCGAGGGTCATACGACCCACAGGGGATGATCGCCGGAGGACCCACAGGGGTGGGTGTGGGCGTGTCCCTCTCGCACCTCTCCCCCGACCAGGTCAGTGCTTTTAGAGAGAAGCCAGATGGGGCTAGTCCGTGGGAGATGTATGTTGCGTTCACAGGGGTGGGAAGATGGGAACAGATGAATTTCTCTTTCGTGTCGCTCCCTCAGTCAGTCCCCTGTGCTGCCAGATAGCAGGGCTACAGTGCCTTGAGATACGGCACGAACTGTTTCCCCCTCTCAATACTCCTGCCAGATAGCAGTGATAGAAATGGAGCTGAACTGATTGATTACAATAGAAGGCACTAGGCCTTTAAGTACAAAGAGGGTTGAGTTGAGCAAAGCTAGGGAAAGGATGGGATGGGAATTCCAAGCAAATTTTCAATGGTGAGTTAGCAGACTTGTTGGATTACGGGGGAATCTTAACCAGATAGGGTTGGGATTACAAATCTACACCCAACCCACAAATGACCTACAGCATATAAAATAGAGTACACAAAGTGTTGACAGCCTATTTCTAACAAGCAGGGCCTACAGGGATAGATTATGTGAGATGCCATATGCCCCCTTCTCTGTCCCAAATTCTACTTTCCTCATTTCCCCTCCGGTTCTTTGAATCACAGGTGCAGCTGTTGGTCCCTATCCTAGGCCTACTGGAGCAGGTGGGGTCAAACGAGGTTGCTTTCTCTCTCTGGCAATATATGCATCTTTCTAGCGTCACTCCCTCTTCCCACACTCCCCCTCCCCCCCTACTCTCTTAATCACAGGTGCAGCTGCTGGTGGCTAACCTGTGTCTGCTGGAGCAAGCGGGTCGGACGAGGTCTCTCTATCTAACCTTGTGTTCCCTATCCCAACTCCATTCGCCTTTGCAACGTCCCCGTCCATCTTTGTGAATCACAGGTGCAGCTGCTGGTGGCTAACCTGGGTCTGCTGGAGCCGGTGGGGTCAGACGAGGTCTCTCTCTAAACATGTGTCCCTTTTCCCAACCCCGCTCCACCTTCTCTCGTGTCCCCGTTTTATCACTTGCACCACTACAGGTGCAGCTGCTGGTGGCTAACCTGTGTCTGCTGGAGCAGGTGGGGTCGGATGAGATCAGGCCTCTCTATTGAACCATGTGTCCACATCCTAACTTCGTTCCCCCTTCCAACATTCCTGTTCATCACCTGCACAACTACAGGTGCAGCTGCTGGTGGCTAACCTGGGTCTGCTGGAGCAGGTGGGATCGGACGAGGTATCGCGTCTCTTCTCCCGCAGCGAGCGCCTCAACGGGCAGGCGATAGTGGAGTTCGTGAAAGCCCTCTGCAAGGTGTCTCTGGAGGAGCTGCGCTCGCCCACGGAGCCCAGAGTCTTCTCTCTGACCAAGATCGTCGAAATTGCGTAAGCTTTCCCCCCTCCCCCCCCCCCTTGAATGCACCTTAGAAGAGACAATACCTCAACGGGCAGGCGATAGTGGAGTTCGTGAAAGCCCTCTGCAAGGTTTCTCTGGAGGAGCTGCGCTCGCCCACGGAACCCAGAGTCTTCTCCCTGACCAAGATTGTCGAGACTGCGTGAGCATTCTTCCGCCCTCCTCCCCTAGAAAGCACCTTTAAAGGCAGCGCCTCAACGGGCAGGCGATAGTGGAGTTCGTGAAAGCCCTCTGCAAGGTGTCTCTGGAGGAGCTGCGCTCGCCCACCGAACCCAGAGTCTTCTCTTTGGCCAAGATTGTCGAGATTGCGTAAGCTTTCCCCGCCTTGAATGCACCTTAGAAGAGACAATACCTCAATCGGCATGCGATAGACAGCCTGCGCCAGCTCGCGATGAAGTTCCTCGAGCGAGAGGAGCTGAGCAACTACAACTTCCAGAACGAGTTCCCTTAGCCCCCACCCCACCCCGACCCCCGCCTCCCTCCCAATTTCTCCCTCCTTGTTCCCCGACGCAGCCACTTCAACATGAGCCGCATTCGGCTCGTCTGGTCGCGAATCTGGGCCGTGCTGGCAGACTACTTCGTGACGGTGGGATGCATGCCGAACCTCTCAGTGGCCATGTATGCCATCGACAGCCTGCGCCAGCTGGCCATGAAGTTCTTGGAGCGCGAGGAGCTGAGCAACTACAACTTCCAGAACGAGTTCCTCAAGCCGTTTGTGGTTGTGATGAGGCGCACTGCGAGCGTGGAGATCCGGGAGCTGATTATTCGCTGTGTGTCGCAGATGGTGTTTGCGCGCGTGGGGAACGTCAAGTCCGGCTGGAAAATCATGTTCATGGTGAGTCGGAAAGGGGGTGGATAGAGGGGACAGGGAAAAACCGAGTTTTGAGTTGGCTCAGATGGTGTTTGCCTGCGTGGGGATGTTAAGTCAAGGTGGAGAATCATGTTCATAGTGAGTCAAGGGGGAGGGGAACAGGGGAGAGGAGTCACAACAGTGGCTTTTGAGTCGACTTGAAGCTGTTCGTGGTGGTGATGCGACGGACAGCCAGCATGAGGATTCGCGAAAGGGGCAGGGAAGGGGATTCTGCAGCTTGTATGGATGGATGCTGAATGTGGTGGGGCGGTTTGGGGAGGCTAGGGTGAGGGTTGATTGTGAAGCTTTGGTGGAAAATCAGGTTTAGAATGATGAAATGAGCATCGGCTCCTTGAGATGTTCCACAGCTAGTGATGCGATATTTGAGGCACCTCAACAATCGCCGTACTACACACAGGTTTAGATTGATGAAATGGGCATTGGTTCCTTGAGATCTCTCACAGCTTTATGTCCTTATCCCTTCCTCACGCTACTCTTCTCCCCATTCAGGAGTTCAACACAGCAGCCACCGATGACAACAAGAACATTGTCCTTCTCGCATTCGAGACAATCAAAAAGGTCGTGCGAGGGTACTATCCCTACTTTTTGACATCTTACCACTTTTCTACTCTCCCCCCTCCTCTCCACCGTCTGTCTCCCCATTCAGGTGTTCACCACAGCAGCAATGGACGACAACAAGAACATCGTCCTCCTCGCATTCGAGAAAATAGAGAAGGTCGTGTGGGAGTACTTCCCCTACATCTTCGTACTTTTCTTACCCTTGTTCTACTCTCTTCCCTTCTCGTGCCCGTCTGTCTCCCCATTCAGGTGTTCACCACAGCAGCAACCGACGACAACAAGAACATCGTCCTTCTCGCCTTCGAGACAATCGAGAAGGTCGTGCGGGAGTACTTCCCCTACATCACCGAAACCGAGACCACCACCTTCACCGACTGCGTCAACTGCCTCATCGCCTTCACCAACTCGCGCTTCAATAAAGACGTCTCCCTTAATGCCATAGCCTTCCTGCGCTTCTGCGCGCTAAAACTTGCCGAGGGGGACCTGGGAGCGACGGCACTGGAGAGGGAGAAAGGGCTGAGCCCCACTAAGGTGTCGCACCTGCCGGGGCACCCGGATGGGGAGGAGTTTACTGATAAGGACGACCACCTCTACTTCTGGTTCCCGCTTCTCGCTGGTGAGTGCCGATGGAGTAGGGTAGACTTACAATTTGTTGTGTGTGTGTACCTTTGTAAGGGGATGACTTTTGAGTCAGCTATGGACTCACCTGCTGGGGCATCTGGATGGGGAGGATTTCACAGACAAGGACGATCATCTTTACTTCTGGTTCCCGCTCCTTGCTGGTGAGCGCCGATGGAGTAGGGTAGACTTAGAATCTGTTGTGTGTACCTTTGTAAGGGGATGACTTTTGAGTCGACTCAGGACACACCTGCCGGGGCATCCGGATGGGGAGGAGTTTACAGACAAGGACGATCATCTTTACTTCTGGTTCCCACTGCTTGCTTGTGAGTGCTTGTGCTGCTAAGTCTCCTTGCTCTCAATCCTGCAGGCCCGCTCATGTCCCTCGCCACTTATGTTTCAGCTCCGTGCATGGTAGTTGTGATTCTGGCAGGTTAATACTCTCTCGTTGCTTCTCCACTCCGACCGCCTCCTTGCGCCGCTTTCGAGTCCGGGTGTGTTTGGGGTCTGGAAGACTTACTCCCTCTCTCCCTCACTCCCTCTCTCCTTTGTTCGGAGCTCACTTTTGACCCCCCGGCAGACATCAGAAAGAGAACATTGGAAGTTCTCTTTGACACTCTGCGCTTCCTCCCTGCCTTCTGCCACCCATCCCCACCAGGCTTATCCGAGCTCACCTTTGATCCCCGTCCGGGCATCAGAAAGAACGCATTGGAGGTCCTCTTAGACACTCTGCGCTTCCACGGCCACATGTTCTCCCTCGCTCCCTCTCTTCCTTGTCCCTTCTCTCCCCTTAACCCCAATCCGAACAGGTCTGTCGGAGCTCACGTTTGATCCCCGGCCCGACATCAGAAAGAGCGCATTAGAGGTCCTCTTTGACACCCTCCGCTTCCACGGCCACATGTTCTCCGCCGCCCTCTGGGAGCGCGTCTTCGAGTCTGTCCTCTTCCCCATCTTTGATTATGTTCGCCGCGCCTCCGAACCCCAGCACGGCGAGCATGGCGGGGTGATGCTAGGAGCCAAGAGAGTCGGCGGCGGGGGAGGAGGAGGGGAAGGAGGAGGTAAAGGAGGGAAGGGAGAAGTGGGAGGGGTGCCGGGAGGAGGGAGAGGGGGAGAGGGGGCAGGAGGAGGAGTTGATGTGCCGATTCACAAGCATTCGCACCATAAGGGCGCGCCGCTCTCCCGCCACCCGTCCACGTCAGAAGACGAGCGGCTCCGGGTGGCAAGAAGCGGCAGTCCTGATCCCGTATCTGAGCTGGAAATGGATGCATGGCTGTATGAAACCTGTACTCTAGCGCTTCAGCTAGTAGTCGATCTCTTTGTGAAGTTTTACAGTAAAGTGAGTCCGCTTCTAGGGAAGATTCTCGCGCTGCTGACGTCGTTCATTCGCCGGCCGCACCAGAGCCTAGCGGCGATTGGCGTGGCGGCATTTGTGCGGCTTATGAGCAACGCGGGAGGCCTGTTTTCTGAGGAGAAGTGGGATGAGGTGCTGACAGCGCTTAAGGAAACGACAGGGACGACCCTTCCTGACCTGGCTGGGGTGGTGAAAGCTGCAGATCTGGAGGACGAGGAGGAGAGGGAGTTGGAGCGGCAGCAGCAGATTAAGGAGGCCAGGAGGTTCGATTTCACGCGGGATGAGGATGAAGAGGAGCAGAGGCAGCAGCATCAGCAGCTGGCTGCTGCGGTTGCTGAGGCGGTCGGTGCTGCTGCTGGGGGTGGTGGCGTGGACGGGGGAGAGGAGGAGGGAGTGGAAGTCAAGAGGCCCATGACGTTGGCAGAAGCTGTGGCGGATGTGCGGTGCAAGATTGCAGTGCAGCTGCTGCTGGTGCAGGTAAGCTCTCTGTTTATCAGGTGCTGCTGCTGGTGCAGGTAGGCCCTCCTATCAGTTGACTCGATAGCCACTGCGTTGGCAGAAGCTGTGGCGGATGTGCGGTGCAAGATTGCAGTGCAGCTGCTGCTGGTGCAGGTAAGCTCTCTGTATACTGTGTGTAGGTGGGTCTTTTGATTACTGTGTGCCACTGCTGTCACTTTTGAGACGTCTCAAAACACTGCTTCAAACACATGGCTGCTGGTGCAGGGTAACCACTCTGCATACTGTGTGTAGGTGGGTCTTTTGATTACTGTGTGCCACTGCTGTCACTCAGGCTGCTGCCTTGAAGAATGCACATGCAAACCGTTCCTTCGCTCCCACCTTCGATTCTCCCCCCCCATCTCGTTTTCCCCCACCATTCCCCAACAACCATCCAGGCAATGACTGAGATATTCAGCATGCACGGAGCAGCCCTCCCCTCCCCGCACACCCGCACACCCTCATCCTCGTCCACTCCTCCTCCCTCCTGTTCCCTTCCTTCCAATCCCCCTTCTTGTTCCCATCCAGGCAATGACGGAGATATTCAGCATGCACGGAGCGGCCCTCTCCGCCCCGCACACCCTCATTCTCCTCGACTCGCTCCACCGAGTCGGCACGCACGCCCACGCCATCAACTCCGATCGCCTGCTGCGCTCGCGCCTACAAGCCCTCCACCTGGCGACTCAGATGCCCGACCCGCCACTGCTGAGGTTAGAGAGTGAGGCGCTGCATGCGTACCTCAGCCTGCTGCAGCGCCTGCCCCGAGAGAAGGCTCAACTCGCTAAGGAGGTGGATGTGGAGCTCCGGCTGGTGATCCTCTGTGAAGAGGTTTTACGGGTACGTGCTTTTCTCTCTCTCCTTCTCTTCTTTCTGTGCCCGAGGTGGGTCTTTCTGTGCGTGGGAAGTAGGTAGGCTGTGGGTCAGGCAGAGGGGCACGGGCTCGCCAGGCCTGCAAGCCCTCCACCTGGCGACTCAGATGCCCGACCCGCCACTGCTGAGGTTAGAGAGTGAGGCGCTGCATGCGTACCTCAGCCTGCTGCAGCGCCTGCCCCGAGAGAAGGCGCAGCTGGCCAGGGAGGTGGATGTGGAGCTCCGACTGGTGATCCTCTGTGAAGAGGTTCTCCGGGTGAGTGCTCCTCTCTCCCTTAGTGGATGGTCTTGCCAGGGCTGCATGCGTGACCCAGCTGGCTAAGGAGGTGGACGTGGAGCTCCGACTGGTGATTCTCTGTGAAGAAGTTCTCCGGGTGAGTGCTCCTCTCTCCCTTAGTGGATGGTCTTGCCGGGGCTGCATGCGTGACCCAGCTGGCTAAGGAGGTGGACGTGGAGCTCTGACTGGTGATTCTCTGTGAAGAGGTTCTCCGGGTGAGTGCTCCGGCTTGTCATCCTCTGCAAAAAGGTACTCCGGGTACACGCTTCCTTGTTTCTTTGTCCAGAAGGGTGGTTTTATTTTATGCGGGGAAGGTAGGCTAGAGAGTGAGGCGCTGCATGCGTATCTCAGAGTGCTGCAGCGCCTGCCACGGGAGAAGGCACAGCTGGTTAAGGAGGTGTATGTTGAACTGAGGCTTGTCATCCTCTGTGAAGAGGTTCTCCTGGTACGTGCTTCCTTCTTTCTTGTTCAAGAGGGTCCTCCCTTCTTCGTCTTCCGCTTCCCCCCCTCCTCTCCCCCCCTTTTGTCCCCCTTCGACACTCTTCGTGTGTGCAATCTGGATTCATCCCGGGGTTGTTTGTATGATCCATTTTCCGCCCTCTGTTTCTCCCTTGTTCCCTTCTCTCTCCAGGTATATGTGGGAACGTCTCAAGGCAAGCTCGCACTCATGACTGAAGACCCAAGAGGAGCAGACGCCCCGCCCCTCCCTCCCATTCCTCTCGCCGTACCTCTCGGCTCGGCTCGGCGCCGGGAGCTGGTGGCTCGGGCGCCGCTGGTGGTGGCCACACTGCAGGCGGTTACGGCATTGAAGGATGCAGCGTTTAAGAAGCATCTGGCGAGGTTCTTCCCGTTGCTGGCGGATTTAGTGAGCAGCGAGCATGGGTCGCCGGAGATTCAGGTTGCTTTGAGCAAGATGTTTTCGTCAAGGATTGGCCCTATAGTTTTCTCTGTAGCAGAGTGACTAGTCTAAATATAGTAGTACTGCAGCACTCTGTTTGACAAGTGAGATAAACATCAGGTATGGGACTTGGAGCTAATGTGAAGCCTTGGAATTTTCAGTCAGTCAGGCAGGCAGGTACCGGTACTGCCAATGCCAGCTGGGTACCAACCAAAGAGGATGCCTCTGTAGGAGATTGCTCAAGCGCCTTATTTGCTTTTGTGCTTATCTAGTATAGATGCAATATTATCTTACACCTTTTCCCATTTGAAAGATCCGTAATTTGTATATTTAGTCACATACAGAATCTGTATAGGTCAGCTCCACAGAAACGCAGGACACACGGCGATCCAAATCCGCTATAGGCGGTACTGTATAACGAAAATTAAAACACCCCAAACTAGCTGGCCAGAACCATTATATTCTAGAAACCCACCTAGAACGACACAACTCCGCAGTTCCAACTAAGCAACGTACGGATATGTACTTAGCGCATGTGATCAGATCAGATCAGATCAGATCAGACACAATTGAAGCAGAACCCCCGGTTCCGCCACACGCCCCATCCCTTAGGCCCCTTCACGAACTGGCCCCGTGCCGCGCCGTCCGCAAACGCGGCAGTCTTAACAAGCCCATAGTACGACCCCGGCGCTTCCAGAAGGTTCTGCATGGCCACTAAGTACGTGTCGCCCTGGTCATTAGTGCGCGACGACGCGTCGCGAATCACACCCCTGGAGTAATACGAGGACAAATTGTCAAGTGAGTTGTCTTTGCCGCCGCCAAAAAAGCCCCCCCCCCAACCGCGACCCTTCTTCTTTTTGCCGTAGCGATGACCCGCCACGGCCTTCCCAGTGGTGTCCGTCCACGTGATGTCTGTCGTTAAGTCCATGACCACGTTTCCGTTAGTTCCTTCGGCTCCTTCGTTGACGGTGACGGACGTCGGCTCGCCGGAATCCGTCAGTGCAATGCCGACTTGGAAGTACAGGTCGTAGACGGTGTCGTTCCTGTAACGAGAGTGACAGAAATGGGAGGGTTTCAGACAAAGGTCAAAACGACAAGCATTCTTCGTCGAACGACGCGCGAAAGCGACGCGTTAATATAAATAATAAATGATAATAATAATAACAAAAAAAAAAATCTTCCAAGCGCGCAGGGGTATTTCTTACTTGACGAGCACGAGATCGATAACCCCTGTGGCGTCCTTATCGCCAATCGAGGTCCCGCTAGCATCCACCGCCTGTTCTCCGCGAAGCGTCGCGGACGCCGCTCCCGCGATCTTGCCCTTCCCCTTCTTTCCGAATTTCGGCCCCTTCCATCCTCCTCCCTTTCCGCCGCCGCCGCCCTTTCCGCTGCCGTTGCCGCCGTCCTTCTTTCCAAGCGCACCTGACACACGACACATACACTTACGTCAGATGCGAAACGAACGACTTAAATAAAGGGAGCGGGACCATAGTAGCGGAGAGAGCTTACTGGTGGCGAGGAGAAGAGCCAATAGCAGAGACACGAGAAGCACCCGAGTGATCCTCATTGCGATAGATTGCGTCACTGACGAAAACGAAGCAGTGCTAACCTGATATCGCTAACGCGTCAAACCAGCAAGTTTTAAATATTCAGGGTAATTCGCTGAAGCGCAGCTGCACGAGATAGAAGTGCTGTGATTCACGGAACGGAACGTTTATGCTGATAGAGATGGGCTTGGCCTTGTTTCGAGTGGCGCAATTGGTGGCGGAAGAGGAGCGAGAGGCGCGAGCGAGGTTCGATGTGGTGGGGGTGGTTGCTGTGCGGGAGTTGCGTGGGTTGGGTTGAGGGGGATGGGGTGGGGGGGAAATTGGTGGTCGGAAAGTCGGTTCAGAGAGCGGAGCGAGGTTGTTGAAGGGGGGAGGGGAGGAGCGGGAGAGCTAGCGTGTCGTGGTGCGAAGTGCAGTGAATCTACTGTACCAAGCGCGCGGCCTGGTTGGTCAGAGGAGGGCAGGAGTGCAGCACTGCGGGCAGCAATTGCCGTGCCAACAGCAAGCAGCACTGGCACACCCGCACACTCACATCACATCGATGCAAACCCCCGCCGTGCCCTGCCGCGTCGTCCCACTTGCCAATGGATGCATCTCACCTTCTCTTCCCAACAGGGAGAGGTTTGGTTTGGGAAATCCATGACAAATGTTTGAGTAAATACTTCACTTTTGTGAGTTCTTGGGTTAGTATGAGACGTTCCCCGAGTTGTAACGAAAACTGTCCAAGATGATGGAGCGAGAAATTGACAGTGCTTGATTGTTTCGCGTTCTGGGAACCACAAACTTGTTTATGCTGGTTCGTGAGTTCCTTTCTCAGCAATGGGGGGAGTAATAAACTGGCCCCACATGCTTTATTCTAATTCGGGAATACAAAATGCGAACTCAACTGCATGAGTCACGATCTCTGTTTGAGCGGGCCTGGTCGGTGTGGTGCTGCTGTTGTGGAGTGGTGGTGGAGGCCCATGGATTCTGTTCATCACAAGCCCCACGACACTGTTCATGACATGCCACGTCAGGAGTGTGCAGGCGAAGCAGGTTACCAATTTCGCGAATGCATGCGCGCTGCTGACGATGCGGATTTCTTCCAAACGAAGGGCACAAGTGCTGGTGAGCAGGAGATTGGGGGAGGGATGTGACAAACGACCATGACCTGCGAACCTGGATGTGCGTTTTGGAATGTTTCGCCGTCCATCTCCCCACGGGCAGGCCTCCCTTTCCGTTTCATTTCAAGTCACTCTTCCTGGATGTAGCGAGTGGGAAAATCCTGATTTGTTTGCATGCGGATTTGGTGAGCCATTGTTTTCTTCGGTTCGGAGGCTTGAGTGAGTGACTCGTTTGAACATGTTCTATTTTACTCTTGGATGGCACACAAGGATTCCATCACACATCTGAGTGGAGAGCAGAAGTGCTATCTGAATAAGATGTTTGGAAAAATATACTCAGTGTATAAGTAACACCCATCTTCATCTAGCACCAAATAGAAGAACCGCATTTTGACTTATTTGGCTTCAAATTTGCTTGACCTGTTGCTTCAGTGTGAATATTCCTGCTTTTGAGTACTTTACAAGGAATCTGATCTTCAAGTGATATGTATGTTTTTTACATGTTGATAACAAAATCTGTACAACCTGCTAAGGTAAGATAAAACATGCTGAAACTAGCAGCCCATCAGCTCTTTCTAGGAGCCCCCGCTACGCTTTGTACACTAATAGCTTCATGCAACACGATCGGACACATCAGCAGTTGAACTTAAAGCAGAACCCCCGGTTTCGCCACACTCCCCATCCCTTAGGCCCCTTCCTGAACTGCCCTCGTGCCGCGCCTTCGGGATACATGTCAGTCTTAACGAGCCCATAGTACGACCCGGGCGAGTCCAAAAGGTTCTGCATGGCCACTAAGTACGTGTCGCCCTGCGCATTAGTGCGCGACGACGCGTCGCGAATAACTCCCCTAGTGTAATACGAGTACATGTCCCTCAGAGAGTTGTCTCGGCCCCGGAACATGCGGCCTCCCCCCCAACCCCAGCCCTTCTTCTTCCGGCCGTAGCGCGGGCCCGCGGCAGTCCCGGTGGTGTTCGTCCACGTGATGTCTTCCGTCAAGTCGATGACCACGTTTCCGTTAGTTCCTTCGGCGCCTTCGTTGACGGTGACGGACGTCGGTTCGCCGGAATCCGTCAGCGCGATGCCTACTTGGAAGTGGAGGTCGTAGACGGTGTCGTTCCTGTAACAAGAGGGACATAAACGGGAGATTTCAAACAGGGGTCAGAAGGTCTCGTAATCGCGGTCAAATGACGGCCGAAAGACACGGAAGACTGAATTTGCCCCGCCTCTCCCCCTCCCCATCCTCCAACCCACCCGCGGATCTAAAAATGGCCTGTCAAGCGCGCATGGGCCCCCCTTCCTTTCTTATCCATCGCCCACTTCCGAAATCAAGAGCGCTTCTTACCGGACGAGCACGAGATCTATGACCCCTGTGGCGTTTTTTGTCGCCGATCGGGTTCCCGTTAGCGTCCACCACCTCATCCCCGCGCAAAGTTGCCGACGCCGCTCCCGCGATCTTCTGCTTCCCCTTCTTGGGCCCCTTCCATCCCCCCCCCTTTCCGCCCTTCCCGTTGCCGCCGCCGTTTCCGCCGCCCTTTCCGCCACCCTTGCCACCGCCCTTTCCGTTGCCGCCGCCCTTGCCCTTCCCATTGCCACCGCCTTCACCCCCGTCCTTCTTTCCGAGCGCACCTGACACACGAGCAAGAAAAAGAAATATAGAGCACGTAAGTTATCTGCTTTTCAACAGACCTATCTGTTCGAGGTGTTTTTCTTCCGGGGTCACCGAATTTCTGCAACAGACGGTTATGTCAGATGCGAAAGCGGATGTTCTCAACAGAGGAAGCGGAATCTTCACGGAGGGGGCTTACTGGTGGCGAGGAGAAGAGCCAGGAGCAGAGAGACGAGAAGCAGTCGAGTGATCCTCATTACGATAACCTTGTGCGTCACTGTCGAAAATGGAGCAAAGCCCCTAACGAGTAGGCTCCGAAGTCGCTAACGAGTCAGGCCAGCAAGTTTTGAATATGGTGAGAATAGGGCTGTTTGCTGCAGGCGGAACTCGCGTTGTGCGATCTCAAAAGTGCACGACACTAGAACTCGTGACTGTAGAGAGAAAAATTGGTTCAACTGAGAGAAGTGCAGGTGACAACTTGGGCTGGTCGTGGGAGCCTTTTATGCTTGGAGATTGGGCTTGGCATTTTTTTAGGGGCGCAATTGGCGCAGGGGGCGCGAGCGACGCGACGCGAGGTTCGATGTGGTGGGGGAATGTGTTGCTGTGCAGTGCGGAGTCACAGCGGGAGTTAGGTGGTTTGGGGGGATGGGGGATGGGGCTGGGGGGAAATGGTTGAAGAGGGGAACAGCCAGCGCGGTTCCAAGTGCAGAGATGCGCATGGTTGGTCGGAGGGCAGTAGTGCAGTACTTCCGTGGCGGCAGCAAACGCCACTGACGCATCTCATCACACTCAGCACATCCCCGCCGTTCCCTGCTGCGCCGTTCCACTGGCAAGCTGAACGCTTACCCCCCACGCGGAGAGGCTGGCGGGGAATCCATCAATATACAGCAAACCCTTAGTTTGGTGGATTTTCAGGTGAATATGAATAAGAACCCCCGAATTTCTTACGAGCACTCTTTAACGAGTGAATGACTGGAAACGTCCCGAGAAGGTGTTATGCTGGGCTCGTGAGTTCCTTCCACTGTAGCGTAATCAATGTCAGAAGTCATGATTTCTGTCGGGGTAACGGAGAAGGGTAATGTAGTGGACCTGGTCATCTGTTGTAAAAACCCATTGATTCTGTTGATTACAAGCCGCACGACACTGTTCATGGCATGGAATGTCAGGGGTGGCATGCGAACCGGTTTCCCGTTTCGCAAATGCACTCACGCTCCTAGCGAACTCCACAAGTGTTAGTGAGCAGAAGATTGGGGGTGAGATGTGACAAACGGCGGTGACCTGCGACACGCATGAAACATGTGTGCGTTTTGGAATGTTTCGCCGTTCACATCGCACGGCTTCTGCCGACAAGTGCGTCTTTTTCGGCGAAGCCGTTACACAAAGGCTTTACGAATGCGATTGGATCGCAATGCCACATTTCGCCAGTGGGTGGACGGTCTGGCCGGCAGCAACTCCAATAAATCGGACGGTTCAGTCTGTTGCTGTATGAACCGCTGGCAAAATCAGGTGCTGGGCGAGACCGCCAGGTTGTTGGTCAGTTTCCGCTGTCGGAGCAAGCAGCCATTCCCAAAATACGCGATACAAATCACATCGTTTTCGCATTAGCCTGGCCTGAAACTGCATTACCTTTCATGCGACGTAACCAAAACACGACTTTTGCACCGCAACCGCCTATATCAACCACAACCACAAACCCCTCTGCCAGTCGCTGCCTGCCATCTGACAAATCCCTGAATCCCGAAACCCAATCGGAGGGTTGCACACTTGGCGGGAAAATGGCTCCCAGAGTGACTCGAGGATTTGGGTGAGAATGTGTAGTGAATGAGGATCAGACTCATCAGAAGTCTACCTCGTTGAACTAGGGAAAACCCTTCGAGCATTTTAGGTAATTTCTGCTGCGTCTGTGACTTCGTCTAGGGTTCACTAACGTGCTGTGGGTGACTGATTTTAGCATCGCATACAGCCGTTTCCTGGACCAGCAGCGATGTCTGGGTACGATTACCAGGGCTACGGCGATGGAGGAGGTGGTGGGGGTGGAGGAGGAGGAGGGGGATATGGAGGGGGAGGCGGGTATGGCGGAGGTAAGATATCACGCTGCTAGCAGTTCCCTCCTGTAAGATGAATTTTTACTTCCTTTCAAAACGATAGATTTCTTTCTTTCTGCGTCGGAAAGCACAGATCTGGTCTTACAGGCACAATAGAACATCCAGGAGGCTTTTCATCCCTAAATCTTATTGTGTCACACATCAGATCTGCAACGTAAGCTAATCGGCATTCCCATTTCTTTTCTCTGTCTCTCTCTGCTTGACTTCACATGCAATTTTTCCTCCGTTATCTCCATGGCGTGGAAACCTCGATCGAATCGCCCAGGCGGGGGCCGCGGAGGGTTCGGCGGACGAGGCGGAGGAGGTCGAGGCGACGGTGATTGGCTGTGCCCGAACCCATCGTACGGACCGCCCTTAGCTTTTTAGTAACCACCACCTCCTCCAATGCCGGTCGTGGCTCGCAATCTGTAACGTGGTGTTCGCATCGCTATGGCGACTGTCGCATGGGTTGGCGAAAGGTTTTTGGTTGCTTGGACGTTTCCCGGGGTGGTCTGCTCGAATTTTCTCACTTTAATTCAGGTAGGTGTCGCCGCTCTTTTTGCTATTCGCATAGGTTTCGCTCTAATGTAACATCGCTGTAAGTAGTATCGTGACGTCTTTTAGACGCCATAGACGAGTGGCGGTTGCTGTTTCAAAAGGCGCGCTAAAGCAGCTTGCTTGCTTCCAGGCGCAAACAAACTTCATTTTCTAACCGCGATTCTTTCTTGTCCTATGCTGTTCTCATCATGAGTTAGTCGTCCTCATCTTACAGCTTGTTGAATGCCCTCCCTCTCGCGTATCCTGTTCCTTCAACCACTCACCCTCGTCTCCGCCGGTGGCGTGTTTGTCGCAGGTGTGGTAACAATAACTTCGCACGTCGCTCTGAGTGCAACCGCTGCGGCACCGCGCGCCCTGCCGGAGCTGGCGGCGGCGGCGGAGGCGGAGACTTCGGCGGAGGCGGAGGCGGAGGGTATGGCGGAGGAGGCGGGCGCGGAGCTCCGCCCCCTCGGCCCGGCGACTGGGATTGTCCGGGGTGAGTTTCCCCCGGTGTGGTGAAGGATAATTTTTGTGATTATAACCCTGGCCAGTTCACAGTGCTCCAGTCGTCTTCAGGATCAATAGCGCTAGATCCGTTCTTTCTTTTCGTGCAAATTACGGTCACGAACCAGCTTCTTGGTTTCCATTTGAACCGTTTCCTCTTCCCCGTCCCCGTTCCCCGTCCACCGTTCCCCGTTCCCCCGGTCCCTGTTCCCCGTTCCTGCTCCCCATCCTCTGCTCACCCGTTCCCCATTCCCCCTTCCCCCGTCCCCCGCCCGCGGTTTCCCGTTCCCCATTCTCCGTTTGCCCGTTCGCCGTTCCCCGTTCGTGTTTTCTCCCACCCAGTTGCGGTAACAACAACTTTGCCCGCCGCGCCGAGTGCTTCAAGTGCGGTACGGCCCGTCCCGCCGACGCGGGCGCCGGCGGTGGCGGCGGCGGCGGCGGCGGCCGGGAGGATCGGTATTGCGGCGGAAGAGACGACAGGGGGGGTGATCGCTACGGGGGTGGGAGAAGCGACGACAGGGGGGGAGATCGTTACGGTGGGGGGAGAGGGGACGATAGGGGCAGGGGCGACGACAGGGGGAGGGGGGATGACCGCGGGAGAGATGACAGGGGAAGGTCGGACGATAGGCGCGGGGGGGATGACAGGCGCGGCGGGGACTACGGGTCTCGCGGAGGAGACCGCGACGGGGGGCGTGGGGATGGGGGCCGGGGGGGCGGAGATTATGGCGGGCGCGGTGGGGGAGACTATGCGCGGGACGACAGAGGCGGTGGCGGAGGGGGAGGGGGTTCCGCGGGCGGGGGATACGGCGGAGGAGGGGGATATGGGGAGGACGGCGGGGCGGACAGTGGGGTCGGGGGGGGAGCGCCGGGGGTGAAGCAGTGCGACGAGAATTGCCCCCCGGATTGCGACAATGCGCGGATTTATATTTCCGGTCTGCCCAAGGACGTCACTGTTGACGAGCTGTGCAACCTGTTCGGCGGCATTGGGATGGTGAGCGGTGGTGATGGGTGGTGGTGAGGGATGGAGAGGGGTGGTGAGGGGTGATGAGGGTTGGTGAGGGGTTTAGCGGGGTTGAAGTAACTGAGAGAGGGTTAGTGAGGGGTTTTGGATGGAGATGGAAGGAGGGGTTTCATGATCTAAATCAGAGTTCCACGTACGCGGCCGAGTACGAAACATTATAGCAAAACGAGAAGACAAAAAAAGAGAGAAGAAATGTACGAATGTTTTAGGCGCCTCCAACTTTCCCCTTCCCCTTCATCCACGCGCCCAGATCGCGCGAATTAAGCAGACGCGCGGGTACAAGGACCAGTGGACTCTGCCTCTTACTTATGACCCTCTACCTACACAACCCGCCCCATCTCCCTACCCCCTCCCCTCTCGTCCCTTCCCCCTCCCCTCTCCCCTCCACCGGTCCCCGCTTCCGCGCTTTTTTCTGCCCAGATCGCGCGCATCAAGCAGAAGCGCGGGTACAAGGACCAGTGGCCGTTCAACGTGAAGCTCTACACGGACGAGAGGGGGCAGAACAAGGGCGACGGCGTGCTCACCTATGAGGACCCACAGGCCGCCCACAGCGCTGGTGGCTTCTTCAACGGTGAGATGGGTGCTTGTGCAAACGGCCGTTCAACATAAAGTTGTACACGGACGAGAGGGGGCAGAGCAAGGGCGACGGCGTGCTGACATGTGAGGACCCTCAGGCGGCCCACAGCGCCGGTGGCTTCTTTAACGGTGAGATGGGCGCCCGTGGGACCCTCCTTGGTGGGTTGGTTGGTGTGCTTGGTGGGTTGCTGTAAGAGAGTGTGCTGGGTGGGTTGTGCTTGGGTGGGTTGAAGGCGTGAAGCTCTACACGGACGAGAGGGGACAGAACAAGGGCGACGGCGTCCTGACCTACGAGGACCCCAGGCCGCCCACAGCGCCGGTGGTTTCCTCAACGGTGAGATGGGTGCTTCGTGATGGGTGCTTCGTGATGGGTGCTTGGTGATGGGTGCTTGGTGATGGGTGCTTCGTGATGGGTGCTTCGTGATGGGTGCTTCGTGATGGGTGCTTCGTGATGGGTGCTTCGTGATGGGTGCTTCGTGATGGGTGCTTCGTGATGGGTGCTTCGTGATGGGTTGCTTTGGGACCCTTTTGGGTGCGATGGGTACTTGTGGTTAGCAAGAGGAGAATCCACCAGCACTCTGATTTTTCCTATTCCACCCCTTCGGCTTTTCCTGTCGCTTCTGTTGTTTCTGCTTCCCCCCTCCCTTGCACCCCCCATTTGCCTCCTTCTCCTCTGTTTCTCTCTCTCCTTCTCTGCTTTCCCTTCTCACCGCTTTTCTGTCCTACTTCTCTTCCACCCCTCTCCTGTCTCTCTCCCGCCTCTCCTGACCTCTCTCTCCTGCTTCTCCCCTTATTCCCCCCCTTCCTCCTGCCCCAGGTCACACCCTGCGAGGCAGCACCATCAAAGTGGGAATGGCCGAAAAGTCAGCTCCGCGGCCGGGAGGAGGAGGCGGACGAGGAGGGTGAGTGGTGCAGTGGGGTTTGGGGGGGTATTTGGGGAGGAGAGGAGGACGAGTGGGGGCGATTGACGGTTTGCAGATAGGGTGAGAGGGGGCAGAGGATTGGGGGTTGGGAAGAGGATGTTGAGTGGCGCCATGGGGGGGGGGAGAGGAGGGTGAGTGGCACAGGGGATGGGGAATGCTGAGGGGAAAGGTGATCGAAGCGGCGCTTTACGGCTTGATGATGCTATCTGTGTTGTGTTGTCATTTGTTGCCATTGCTGTACCGTGCTGCGCTCTCTCCCTGTCTCTCGCCCAGTCCTCCCTCGTTCCTCTCTCCTCCCTCTCCCCTCTGTCCTTCCTCACTCCTCTCTCCTCCCTCACTCCTCTCTCCTCCCTCTCTCCTCTCTCCTCCCTCTCTCCTCTCTCCTCCCTCACTCCTTTCCCTCACTCCTTTCCCTCACTCCTTTCCCCCACTCCTTACCCTCACTCCTTTCGCTCACTCCTTCCCTCACTTCCTTCCCTCACTCCTTTCCCTCACTCCTTCCCTCACTCCTTTCCCTCACTCCTTCCCTCACTCCTTTCCTCACTCCTTGCACGTTCCATTCTCCGCTCCGCAACTCACTCACCCCTCCCCATGTGTCCTCTGCTGTTGTGTGTTCTGTGTCCCCCATGTGGCCTGTGTCCCCCATGTGTTCTGTGTCCCCCATGTGTCCTGTGCCTTGTGTCATTGCAGTGGAGGCTTCAGGGGAGGGCGAGGGGGGTTCGGGGGAGGGGGAGGCTTCAGAGGGGGAGGGGGGCCGGACCGCAGGGACTTTGACAGGGGGAGGCCGCGCCCCTACTGAATGGGGATGTCGTCGTCCCTACTGACACCCTTTTTCCCCCCTTCACCGTCCATCACCACTGCCATCACCATTACCACCCATCACCACCACTCCTACCTCCTCACGCAGCCCACTCGCCCCCATCTCCTGTTGTGCCTGCCTTCTTGAGTTACCAGTAACAGTGCAGCGTTGACTTTCTTGTCACCATGGCTGTGTTATTTCGAGAATAGGATAGTAGACTAGGTCTATGGTATACTGTTCGGATCGTGATAAGAAATCCTCGTAAATGTGATGTTAAGATAGTGGGGTTTTGGTTTCTCTTCCTCCATCCCCGGAAAACAATATTGTGGGGCTTGTTGTGGACCTTGGTGCTGCATGTCAAAATTCGCGTCCCATACCACAATTGGTCCCGAATGTTGGAAACAATCGATCTTAAACGCCTCTGTCGTGTCGAAACACCGAGACACAAGTGAAGCAAGATATATCGGAGCACCCGCGAGTCAACCCTCGGAGGTTGAAGTAACCGCTGGAGGTTACGCGAAAGTCAAAGGTCAGCGACCTTTGACCTGACAAGTACAGCGCGACAGCAAGGACACACAACTGACTCGTTACAGAGCAGTTGCCCGAGTCGTCACTGTATCGAACCGCAACAGCAACAGTAAAGTAGTTATAACTATATCTCTTCGTATTCCTTGTACTCTTATATAATCCTGTATCTCCTTGCTTTAATTAATCTACTTTGCCCTCACATACTAGCGCAAGGTGGATCACAAATTCTTCACTAAAAGCTTCCGCTATTACAACAAGTTCCACTCAGAGTTCACCCCTGCAAAGATCCTAAGGGCTTTTCTCAGCCCAACATGGTATGAGAGCTATCAGGGGGAATTCAACTACCAAGACACCTACAACATCAGAAGGCATGGCTACTCAGAAGGAAAGGAGTTCCTCTGTTTGATCTCCCGGCACTACTCCTACTCCACCTCCTGCCTCTGGCCTACAGACAGAGGAAGGTACAGCAACAAGACCAAGGGCAACATCTACTGAGACTCCAGCAAATCATCCTGCAGGCCTCGACCAGAACATGATGGATAATTTTTTCTCCTTCATGTCCTTCTACGAGCAACACCAGCAATCGGTACCTGCGCAGTCACACAACAGCAACAACAACAACGACGTGACTCCAATGAGCCTTGATGGTTCATCCTACGCACGTGGAAATCAACAGCAACAACCTACCTTTGCTCCATACGAGCCCCAGCGCGGCTCCGTCAGCTTCATGCCACAACCTGCACCTGGACAAGAGAAGACACTGGACGCGCTACAAGTTCAATCGCAGTTCGCGCACCCTTTCACACTCAGCGACGCTACAACAACAACAACAACAACCGACAACAGCCAAAGCCCGTACCTCCATTCTGCCACATCTGCAAGACGTCAGGACATCCACGCACACACTGCCCGAATCGACAACAGTCAAATCCACCGCAACGACAACTTCGACCTTCAAGCAGCCAAGTGGCATCAACGCAGGCGAACCCCACAAGCCAGTCGCAGTCTTCAACGACACAATCTGCACAAGGAGCAAGAAATATCATCAGCTGCATGGCAAGATTGTCAGACTCCTGCATCACTGAATCACCACCGTACTACTCACCAGAAGAACAACTTGAAGAATCCACTCCTCGTCATGAGACACTGGAGCCGAACCCGACATACGCAGCCATCGCCCAAAGCGAGCCATCCGGGACAGACACTTGGTTCTTGGACAGTTGCTGTGGACAGCACATGTGCTCCTCGGGACGCTTCGTTCAACGAGAACACCAACTTCAACGCGAAGTTGTCATTACAGTCGCCAACAATCATAACCTGCGCACACGACGACAAGGCGTAGTTCAACTTCAGTCAAGGGAAACAAACGTTATACTGCAGATGTCAAAGGTACTAATCGCGGAGGGACTCGGCTACAACCTACTAAGTGTCAGCCAGCTGATGGCAAAAGGCATTCACCTTGAAGCGGACAGCACCACCCAAGAATTCAAGCTATATCATGGAAGAGGAGGACTTTACATCGGGAAGGCAGTTCTGAAGAACAACGTCTTCGTTCTTGACTTCGTTCCAGACCTTGGCACCGCCGACAGCGACGGAATCGTCACCTTCACATCTTGGACGCACCCACCAGATCTCGACCCAGACTTCAGCCCTGAAGGATTCTGGTACTCGCACACCATCCCTGAAGCAGAAAGAACAAGAGCGTTAGCGACAATTCAACATTCGGCAGCAGCAGAGACAACATCGGGAGCAGCAGAGACAACATCGGCAGCAGCAGAAACGACATCAGCAGCAGCAGAGACAACATCGGCAGCAGCAGAAACGACATCAGCAGCAGCAGAGACAACATCGGTAGCAGCGGCAACATCAACACCAATCGCTGGCCCTTCAACGGCACCGATCTTCACTGACGACACACCACCGACACCCGCGCAGCAGCTAAAACCGGCACCACGAGAAGTCCATCGAAGCGCCAACTTCACCGCCAGCTTCTATTCCAACTCCGACATGTATCGGCGTTCACCCGGACATCGCGCCACTGAAGGAACCTGGCACGCAAGAATGGGACACCCAAGTAACACGGTGTTAAACAACACGATAAGAGCAGGCGTACTCGACAAAGACTCTCTACTCCTAACTGATGGCAGAGAGCTTCAGCGAGCCCGTGGAACATGCTTCACCTGTCCCGAAGCTGACTTACCGCACCAACCGTTCGCATCTCACCACAATCCAAGCGCACCAGCTTACGCACCACTCGAGAAGGTGTACAGCGACATCCTGTACAACCGCGAGCCCGGACAAAACGCCTACAACTACACCATCACCTTCATCGACGCCGCCACACGATATGTCTGGCACCTAAACCTCCCGAGCAAAGACATGGCCTTCGAAGCCTTCGTTGCGTGGCTCCCAGTAGCGGAACGCGAATCGGGCGTCAAACTAAAAAGCTTCCAATCAGACGGGGGAGGAGAATACACCTCAACGAGGTTCAAGGACTACTTGGCAGAAAGAGGAATCAAGCGACTCATCTCCCTTCCCTACGCTCACCAACAGCAGGGTGTAGCAGAAAGGATGAACAGGATCCTCCAGAACACCATGCGAAAGCTGCTACGTGGCATGCACCTGCCCAACCACCAGTGGCCCGAAGCAATGGACCACGCCGTCATGCTGCACAACTTACTCTCGTCATCATCGCTCCCGAACAACGCATCACCGCATCTGCTGTGGACAGGAAAACTGGGCAGCACAAAAATGTTAAGGGTCTTCGGCTGCATGGTACAGTACCGGCCCCCATCTGCACGAGCCGGTCGATTCTCTCAACGCGCACAGTGGGGACTACACCTGGGCATCGAAAAGCATTACAACGCATGGAAAATTTTCGACGTCGAGACAAAAGAGACAGTGGCAGCACGTGACGTCATTTTCTACGAAAACCTCACCCTCCGGTACTACCTCGCCAACTTGCAAGAAGAAAACCCCGATCGCTCCGCTGGCTTTCTCGGCACCCGAGCCTTCGCCTCGGCAGAAGACGAAGCTGACTGGGAAGAGCAGAACGTGGACAGAGCCTCGGAAGAAGCCGGACCTCTCCCTTACTGCTGGGTGGATGTTCCCATGGACGACGAAAATCCACGCGAAAGCATCAACGCCGAAGTCTTCTATCACTTCGCCGACGATGGTTACGTTACACCTGAACGGGTCAACACCAACGAAGCAGAACGCGTAGGGCCAAATTTCACACCTGACCCAGAAGCGGGAGACGAAGCAGTTTATCCCGCGGACACAACACTCCCTCGATACACACAGAGCGGACTCCAAATCCTTGGCCTCATCACCGCAGTTTACGGAGCGGACATTCCTAAAGAGCCTGCGACGGTTCAGCAGGCTCTGGGGGGGGAGCATAAGGAAAAATGGCGCAAAGCCATGGACAAGGAGCTGAAGGCACTGGAGGAACGCAACACGTGGAAAGTAGTTCCTATCGGCGTGACACGGAATAAAACAGTACTCACCGGGAAGTGGGTCTTCCGTGTGAAGACAAAGGCTGACGGCACCATCGACAAGTTTAAAGCTCGCTGGGTCGTACGCGGCTTCGACCAAGAACACGGACGCGACTTCACCGAGACATTCGCCCCGGTTAGCCGACACACCTCGCTGCGAATCCTTCTCGCGATCGCCGCCATGAAGAAGAAAAAGCTACGACAAATCGACGTTGCAAATGCATTTCTCTACGCACCTGTTGACGCAGAAATCTTCGTCGAGTTACCGCACGGCTCCAATGGAGATCCTAATCAAGTCTGTCAGCTGCTGAAGTCGCTCTACGGCATCAAGCAAGCTCCGCGGCTATGGCAACAATACCTGCATGCTCGCCTCATTCGCATCGGCTTCAAACAACTGCCGCATGATCAGGGCATGTACCGGCTCACGAAGAACATCGACTACATCCTGTTAATCGTCTACGTAGACGATCTACTCTACATCGGCTCGACTGACGGCATCACAAGCTGGTTTGAAGGGGAGCTACAGAAGGACCTCACGCTCACTGTCTCATCACCGTCACACAGTATCTCGGCCTCAACATACGAGAAGAATGGACGCGATCTACCTCAACGCCGCGAAGTATGCCGACACCATCGCCAAGCGCTTCGCACTCACACCGACCGCCATCTCCACACCGTACCGCTACACGACAGGAAGCAGCAAAGGAAGCTCCGCTCTACTTAAGCCCGCCGGCATACGCGACTACCAAACGAAACTGGGCTGCCTCCTCTTCGCAGCCGTCACCTGCCGCCCGGACCTATCGTACTCTGCAAGTCAACTCGCCACCTACCTCAAGAAGCCCGAAGTGGAACATCTGGCTGAGCTCGACCGCGCTCTTCACTATCTCGTCAGCACTCCGACGATCGGCCTAACTTACTACAAGAACGCAACTACACCGCCTAAATTAATCGGCTGCGTCGACGCCGATCACGCTGGCG